TGAGATGCTATACTCGTTTGTCCAAGCGACAACTAGACCAGACTAGTTATCACTTGAGGGGAAGTGTTAGAGTTCCCACATTGAAAATAAAGAAGAACACCAGTAGCATATATATAAAGGTGAAACCCTATCTATCACTTTAAGCTTTTGGATTGGAATAATGAATCTCAACTTTATATGTAAGTGATTAATTTTATCCGGTATTCAACCCGTTGATCTAGGCCCACCGAAATTTTAAAAAGCTGCATATTTATTATTTAAAAAAAGTCAAAAATATTTTTTAACACGTCCAAAAATAGATAAATTGTTTTGGAATAGAAGAAGTATGATAGTACATGAATGATTATACTGGTGCTCTCAACTTTTAATTTCAACTACTCCCTTGGTCTAAAAAGAATCGCATTTTACTGTTTACATGTTTTGATTAAATTTATTTTCAATTTAATTTATTTGTAAATTGGTAAATATTAGAAAATAAAATTTATATACTCCCTCCGTCATAAAACGTTCTTCTCAGTTGTTATTCATATGGTTAAACTTTAATCAATATCCTCCTATATTTTCGTTAGTTATTTGATAAAATAATATAGTATTGTCACTTCTTGTTTTGTAGAACTTTTGATGTAGTTTTTACATATATAAATTTTATTTTTTAATTTTACACCTGCAATCAAATAAATTGAATTGAAAATAAAGTCGGTCAAACCTCGTAAATACAAACGAGAAGAATATTTTAAGACGGAGAGAGTATTTAAAAACTACATCAAAAGTTCTACAAAATAAGATGTAACAAGACTGTATTAATTTTTCAAATGAGTCACGAAAATAGGTCGACAACGTCATTAAAATTTAATTTTGTGAATAATAAGTGGATAATTTAAATTGGGACGAAGGAAGTACAACTTTTACCCATGCGATATGTGAAATATGACAAAATTTAAATCACTTACTAATAATATTTTAAAAGAGTTAATTCAGTAAAGAGTTTTTTTATAATAGAGAATTTGCAATATATAGTCATCAATCTTAAGATATATAGTTTGTTTATAATCTGCTCTATATTTAAGAACTCTTATAAATTAATTTTTTTGTGGACTAGACGTAAAAATAATATTTGAGTCTAAAAGATTGATCATAAAATAATTATTCAATATAAAGAACTATTAGAATTAATGATTATTATTAAAGAAAAATCATTTGTTAATAAATAGCTATATATAAGAAAATTACACTATTGTGAAATAAATATGGATCAGAGTACTCTATATTTAGTATTCCCTCTGTCCTAATTTAAATTGTCTGTTTCAATTTACGATATTTGATTGAAATTATTTTCAAATCATTACATATGAAAAACATTATAGAGTTAAAAAATAAAAATTATATATTTAAAAACCACACCGACCATATTTGTGAATGCTTGTATAGGCACCTAAATTGAGATCAAATTATTGAATTGAATAAAGTATTGTACGGAGTAATAATTTGCATAATTTCTAAATATTTTTTTGATACACAACATTAACTTTCTAATTACAATCATGGCCATGACAACTCTATGCACGATAAAAAGATTGTGATTTGAGTTATCCGATTTATTAATTTCAGATTTTACTCAAAACATAAAGACATGCGTCTATTAATCTTTAATTAAACACACAGTCTATACAATATACATGACTGGCAACCCCAAATTAATTGGACTAGAGAGACCTAAGGCACTAGAGGCCATCATTCTTTAGGGACAAACCTTTGTTGGGTTTACTTTTTGCACATATACTAAAGAAAAAAAAGATTAGAAAAAGAAAAGTTACAAATATGCTCATACCTTTTTGTTATAAATGCTAATGTAATTAGATATATTGGGTAATAAACACTCCCTACTATAAAACAATAAGGGTAAAATGGTAAAGTTGTTTTCTACAATTTGGCGAATAACGATAGAGACCGGATGAACTCATCAGAAAAACAGATCGAGAGAGTACTCCATTCAAGAGAGGACATTATTTAAGATGATGATCGAGCAGCTCCGAGCAATCAACAGTGATTGAGAGTAGTGATGGGCGGGACTAGTGACAAGTGGCTGCCGTGAAATTGTGTTATATATAAATTGATAAAGTTATGAAATAAGGTTTTAAATAAAAAAAGGACATTTTGGTATATTTATATTATTTAATTAAATAGATACCATTTAGAGAGATAAAAAACTATTCTATTAGATAAAATGACAACGATTAACTGAAGTTTTAAAAATTTTTCTCTATTGTTACCGTATTGATTAATTCTCATTTCCCTTCAAGTTACTCCGTATATTTTTAATGTTTTACCTGTCCTATAAAAAGATCTTGTAAAATAAAAGAGTACAATTTTTAAAGGAACAATTATCAACAACTATCAAAAAAAATTTTCCTTAAAATACAATATAATAATAACTTGACACTTGTGTTCAGGCCTTGGGTACATATCCATTCGTGAACATAACCAAGTCAAGCCCCTAACTTGGCGAAACGATCACACTTCATGTTCATATTGGTAGATCTTTTAATCGTGTTTTGCAATTGCTACATTTTTTCAAAAGATTTAATTATTAAGACATTCAACCTCCTTTTCCATTGCAGCACCAAACACTACTCCGAGATGATATTTATCATTTAGTGTTTACAATTACTATGTGAACTACTTGTCTACATTGAACTCGAGATATAGCGTTGTACTAGACGTTAAATCGTGTTTTCGTTCTCCCGTAATTAATTATGAGCTTAATCTCATCCCTCGTATATTTTGAATATTTAATCCTTTTCATTTCTTCATTATGATCTAGAATAAATAATACTCTTATTTCTTCATCATATACAGAAGAAATTTAATTCTTGAAACGCGCGTCAAAATGTAAGAAATCCATCAGGTTTGGATTTAAACCATATAAAATACTACTCCCTCTGTCCCCTATAGATCTTCCCAATAGCCCTTTTTCTTTGTCCACAATAGATCTTCTCATTTCATTTTTTAACAAGTAGAATACCACAACTACCCCCACTTACTTTAATTATTACATCTCACACACCTCATTTAATACACTCCACTCATTTTTCATTAAGGGTATTATGGTAAACTTTCACCTTTTTTCAACTCTCCTTAAAAACCACCAAAAATCAAAATGAGAACATCTTAGGGGGACGGAGGGAGTATTTGGTTAATACTTGGTTCGTCCCTGAGTGTTTGTCCACTTTTGACTTTTGGAACTGTTCATCTAAGCACTTTGACTCATCAAATTCTCTCAATGTGTAAGCCAAAAAATAGTCATGTGTGATCTTGTTTGATTCGTCTTAACATATAGATTATTAATATATAATTTTCATAATTTTTTAATATACAAATTACAAGATAAAATGGATTAAAGAAGTACATTGGATGGTGTGCAAAAATGAAAGTAGACAAAGACTCAGGAACGGAGGGAGTACATTGTATGAAATTTGGCTTTTTAAAAATAAAGTTACATCCTTCATGGTAATATCCTTCACCAAAAGATATATATATTGTTCATTAAGAGAAATACTTGCTCTCATGTCGTAAATTAATATTCAGTGTTAACGGAATCGTGCTGATTTTAATTGAACAAATTAGGTGCGCAACTCTTGGTAGTTGGTAATGAAGATTTTCTAGCCGAGAGAATAAAATGGGGACTGCGGTGTAAAACAAAGAAATGAAATAACCGTCTCATTATACACTTTTTCTTGTTCACTCAAAACATAAAAAGAAATTTTTTCCTTGTTAAAAAGATTAAATAAAATAAATGTTTGTATCAATTTAAACTTAACATTAAAATAACGGGACCCTTGATTTAAAAAATTAAAAAGTACTGTAAAAAAAGACCCTTGACAAAAATGGAGCACCAACTGTACATGTAGTTTATGTACGGAATATAAAATTGAGAGATTAGAAATGCATACATCCTCCTTTTTTTTCCTTTTTAAATCTCATAGTCCCATCAATATTTAATACGAGTATACATATATTATCACATGTACGAAATATATATTGACATGTTAGGTATAAATAATTAGGCCATTTACAACGGTGCAATTCTTGCCTCCTCCTAATTCTTGTCACATCACCATTTCATTAATTTTCAATACCGTTTTAATATCTTACAATGCTATTGTATTAAAAACTTACGGAGTATATCTATATTTCTTTTACATTATTCATCATTTTTTATTCAAAACTTATATAAATTTAATAAAATTAGATGACTAATTTGAAAAAAAAATAAAAAAAGATTGTAACAATTTAAAATTAAAAATAAGCGGTAAACATTAAAATTATGGAATGTTATACTCACGCCGTCGTCCTAAGATGTTCTTCCTGTTTATATTTATGAAGTTTGATTGAAATTATTTTTAATTTAATGTATTTGATTGTAGGTATAAAATTACTCCGTAAAAACTAAAATTTGTATATATAAAAACTATATCAAAAGTTTTACAAAATAAGAGATGACAAGACTATATTATTTTATCAAATAACTAAAAAAGTAGGTAAGAAAGTGATTAAAATTTTTTCGTGTAAATAGTAACTGGGAAAAATAATAAAAAATGGGAAATATAACATGCTTAAAATTAAAATAAAAAAATAAATAAAACTATATATACACCAAAAATTATACCCTATTTTATACTCCAAATACATGCACCAATATTTTATGATATTGTGATGATTTATAATGACACAAAATGTCAATGTAAATTTTTTTATTATACTAGTTTCTCTATGACAGTATGAATCTTTAAAATACTGATACATTTCTTTAGAGTATAACTTGAGACACATTTCTTGATGTAGGCTGATTGATTTTTATTATTTTCGTACCAATTTGTAAATAATTTTTTTTTTAAAAGTAAAGAATTTTGCACATCAGAGAATATTATTTCTGGGATGAAGTGAGTATATAAATATAACTGTAAGTTTTAAGCAAATTTTCAGATAAATTTAATTAAAGAAATAATTTTAGTAGGGAGTAATTGGTTATGGGTGGGGCGAGTGCCAAAAAGGATGGCCCCATCATCACTTTTCCCACGTAAAAACAGAGCGGCCCGGCGACACCAACGCTGAAAGAATCTCATGACTTCCCACACACTGCACCACCATATACTCCTTCCTCTCTCTACATTCTAGACATAGAGAGAGAGAGATTGATTCAGAAGTAGAGAACAAAGAGAGCATTTTTTCTCCGGCCGGAACAGGGATAGAAGGGACAGTGTCTGTGTTTAAGTGGTGGGTGGCCGAGGATGAAGCTCGCCGGGAACTCTGCCGCCGCAGAATGTAGAGCTCGCGGCATCAATGGTGTCGGCAGCGGCGGAGCAGTGGTGGTGGTGGGCGTGAAAATGGATTCCCGGAGCAAAGAGCTCCTCACTTGGGCTTTGGTCAAGGTCGCCCAGACCGGAGACCGAATCGTCGCTCTTCACGTTCTTGATTCCGACACCGGTGCGGAGATTCCTCACACTCGCAGATACAAATCCATTTTTTTTTTAAAATTTTTATTCGGCTAAAATTTCTTCATATAAAATTAATTTCTGGGTAGCATTTTAGTTTGCCCAGTATGTATTTATCTCTCCGATCTTCTCTCTGTTTGATTCCAGTGACAGATAAAACGGAGATGCTCAGATTGGTTAAGACCTTTGATTCTGTGCTGGCAGCTTATGAAGGTTTCTGCAACTTGAAGCAGGTCCTTTTTCTTTTATTTATTTATTTTGGGTGGGTTTGTTTGTTTAATACACAGATAAGGTTCTTTATTAGTTTCTTCCACATTATAGGCTATGGCATTATTTGGCATTCAATTCTTTCATATTTATGTGTTATTCCCAATTATGGAGTTATGGGTCGCAATAAATGAAGCTGATCTGAAGATCATGCTTCTGTTTCCACATTTATCAATTGTTATTGTTGTGCAATTCCAAATCTCTGAGTGTGGGTCATATGATGTTTGCAAAGGTTGATCTGAAGCTCAGGGTGTGCAGAGGGTCGCCACCTCGTAAGATCATTGCTCGCGAGGCAGAAAGCTGTGGAGCAACTGTTCTGATTCTGGGTACTTCCGGGACCCACCATGCCGCCAGGTCATCTGTTTCGGTGGCGAGGTATTGTGCCAGGAATGTTGACAAGAACATCTCAGTTGTGGCTGTGAATAACGGCAAGGTCACGTTTCGGCGTGAGATGAGTGTGTCTGTAAGTCATGAGTCTTGTACTCCGGGCATGCCCCAATCAAGATTTAGGAAGAGGAAGGCACTGCCCAAAGGCCCTTCGGGCAGCAGTTCTTTGGCTCTGGTGCCCGTGAAAATTGTGAACGTGCACGAATCGAAGTCGCAGTGGACATTCCTTAGAAGGGTTTTTCTTCAGAGCCATAAAGAATCTGGAAATTCTTCCCCGAACAAGTTCTCTGTTGTGCAATGGGTTCTTAGACTACGAAGACATTCTGATGAAAAACAACTTGGGTTGAATGAAAAGAATGGAGAAATCGTCCCTGCCCCGATCCATTCCACATCTGTTATTCATAAAGAACTGGAGGGTCTTTCTGCAAAGTATTCTTCCATTTGCAGATTGTTTAGATACCAAGAACTTCTGTCTGCAACGTCTAATTTCACGCCTGGTAAAAAAGGAACAGATCTTACTAAATTTTACCATGCTCTTAAGTTTTGGGCTGATCATTATTATTTTTTCCAATAGAGAATTTACTTGGGAAAGGCGGGAGCAGTAAAGTTTATAAAGGGTGCCTTCCTGATGGGAAGGAACTGGCAGTGAAAATTCTGAAGCCATGTGAAGGTTCAGAGAAGCAATTCTGCTCAGAAATAGAGATTCTTACAGCTTTACACCACGAGAACATAATTTCACTTTTCGGGTTCTGTTTTGAAGAAAACAATCTTCTGTTAGTGTATGATCTCTTGTCCAGAGGAAGCCTTGAAGACAATCTCCATGGTATTCTTTCTGCATAAATGTACAATAATATTCAGAGTTGTTTTTTTTGTTTTACAGTAATGATGGATGATTAACTGTGCTTTGAACGTGTCTAGGTACACGAAATGTAGGGGATTTGTTTGGCTGGCAGGAAAGGTACAAGGTTGCCTTAGGGGTCGCCAAGGCATTGGACCATTTGCACAATACAGCTTATGTACCTGTCATTCACCGGGACGTGAAGTCCTCAAATATTCTTCTTTCAAATGATTTTGAGCCAAAGGTGTTTTTTGAAATATGAAATTATCTTTTTTTTTTTTACAATGAATCAATATGTTGTGAGAATGCAAGATGTGTTATTAACATTGATCTATGGGGTTTTCAGCTCTCTGATTTTGGACTTGCAACATCTACTTCATGCCCATCAAGCATATTGGATGGCATTGATGTTGCCGGGACATTTGGGTACGTTTCATGTTTCCTCTTTGTAAAATATTTAATCCTTTTCGGACTTGGTTGATGACCCCTTTTCCTTCGCAGATATTTGGCTCCAGAATATTTCATGCATGGAAAATTAAATGAAAAAATAGACGTGTATGCATTAGGGGTCGTCATGCTTGAACTTTTGTCGGGCAGAAAGCCAATTGATAGTGCACATTCAGAAGGCCAAGGAAGCCTGGTCCTCTGGGTAAGCTCATATATGTTTTTGCCATTGAAATGGACAAAATGTGAAGTTCATATATGTTTTTATTATCTGTTTTTTCCTTTTTGTGTTCAACTCTTGAGCTGGGTTTCAGGCAAAACAAATATTGAGGAACGGGAAGAGTGTCGAATTGCTAGATACGAGGTTGCTAAATGGATATAACCACGATGAGTTTGACAGAATGATTTTAGCTGCAACACTTTGCATCCGAAGGGAACCTAAATTTCGTCCCAAAATTGACACGGTAAGCACGTTATCCGTCTTGATCAATTGACTCCCATCCTTGACTCACAATAACCAAGTGCACAAAAAGCTCATATATGAATCTATATATTTACTCACATACATATAGGTTGTAAGACTTCTGCGGGGCGAACCAGAGGCAATTCAATGGGCAAGACAGCAGAAGCTGAAGAGTGCAGATGAAGGGGATGAAGTTGGGGATGAACAGCCTGCAACAGCAAGAATCCAATCTTTTATCAATCTCGCGCTGTTAGATTTGGAGGACGATTCACTCTCAATCAGCAGCGCTAGCAACTCAATATCTGTGGATGATTATCTGCAGGGAAGATGGAGCCGATCGTCAAGCTTTGATTAGACGTTTCTTGTCAATATACTTTGTAGATAATAAAAACGAACTTTGTTTTCTCCATTTTTTTCGTCACCCCATTGGTCTTGTTGGATGAGAGGTAAGCAAGCAAATGGCCTCCTCCCGGCTAATTTCATGTTTTGGACACCTTTGTAGTCTTTCATTTGGATACTAAATCAGTAAATCCTGTGAAGTGTATATGATGTTTCAACTTTGTCTTAGAATGGTGTAACTTTAGCACTGATACACTTCCATTTCAATCTCATCACACCAAATGTGACATCAAAAGGAGTGTTCCCTTTTTCTATTAAGCAAATATATTTAGAATCTTGAGGCATTAAGTCATCACTTTTACATGAACAAATACTACATTGTAATCGAGTCTAATATGCTAAAAAAAGTCGTATCACTTTTACATTTTCATGCCAAGGAGCATTTTGCATGAATTTAATTAATGTCATGCAATTAATATGCATTTACTACCACCAAACCAAGTAGTTGGGATTAAGGTACTATAATGACCATGATGATGGAACTCATCACCATCCCTTAGTGCCCTCCAGAACCAACCAGACAATTTAGCTTGGCTGGGACTGGGAGGGTAACTCGAGCTTTAATCACATATTGATCAAGAGAGAGCCGAGTCCATTTGGTACCCCTTATCAAAGGACAGTGGGCCTTTGAATAGGCACCACCACCTGATTGCTACCTCCTGTAAGGCTTCAAGGGGTACCCTTCAAACTCAGTGCTAAAAGTTATGGATTCCTCGTCAAGCCTTTTCTTCAATCTCCTCCAAGTTCTCAGCATATCAGACTGTATCAAGCTTGAATATAACGTCTCGAAGGTGACCTTCTGTGGGAGAAAGCCCTTCTCTATCATCTCCATGAACAGCTCACAAGCATCTCTCCATTTCTTCTTCTTGCAGAGCCCATGAACCATCAGCGTGTACGAGTCCAAATCCGGACCTATTTCGCTGTTTTTCAAATCGTCCCAAATCTCCCTGGCGAGTCCCAGTCTCCCCAAGCTCACAAACATCCCCAAAAGTATGTTAAAAGTGGTCTCACTAGGTGAGCACAAGGACCCATCTTTCATTTTGCCATACAGCCTCAATGCGCCGTCAATGTCTTTCCTGCCCCTGTATTCCTTGAAGAAGCAGTTGAGGGTGGCTGCAATGGGGGTCACCCCGCCACTCACCATTTCTTCTAGAAGCTTCTCTGCGTCCCCAATCCGCCCACAAGAGCAGAGACACTTGACAACTGATGTGTATGATGCTATACTTGGGCATATGCCCTTCTCCTTCATTGCCCTCAGCTTCTCCAGGGAGAGATCAGGTTTATGTGCCCTGCTGTAGACATGGAGTAAGATTGAGTAACTTGTAACATCAGGCTCGACTCCTCTCTCGCGCATTTCATCGAACACCTTCTCTGCATCCATGATCACCCTCTCGAACCTCCCATCAGGATGCAAACTGGCTCTCCTGCAAATCCCATTCAGCAACACATTGTAAGTCACAGCATTTGGGTGGATTTCTTTATTGATCATCTCCGCGAAGAACTTCTTGGCCATGTCAATCTTCTTCACCTTGCACCAGCCGTATATCAGGATGGTATAGATCTTGCAATTCACATCAACCCTCCATTTCTCCTTGTTGAACACCTCGGTAGCAACTCTCACGTGCCCGTACTTGCAGAGGGTATCGAGGAGATAGCAGAAGTACAAGTTCCAGACATCCTCCTCACCGTGTTCATCGATGAAGACGAACATTTCGCTGAAGGCGCGAACGGCTTGCCGAGTAAATCCGGCAGAAATGAGTCTCCGGATCAGAACGTAGAAGGTCGTGAAATTGGGCGAGATTTTCTTCTTCTCCATCTCGACGATGAGCTTCCAAGCGACATCGAATTGCCGGACTTTGGAGAGGATGTCGATGAGGAGGTTGAAGGCGGTGGCGTCCAGCGGGGAACCGGGGTAGGACTGGGAGAAATTGAAAAACGCGAGGGCGACTTTGGAAGAGTGTCGGAGACGGAGGAGGGTTTGGTGGACGAGGAACGGGGAAAGGGAAATTCCGGCGAGCTGAAGGGAGGATTCCGTCGGGTGGAAGGGGTTGTGTTGTTGGAGGAGAATCTTGGCGATCAAATCGGCGTCGTTAGAGGGTTGGATTTGGGGGAGGTATGGCTTGAGAGTGTCAGATTCGGAGGCAAATGCATAGTCGCAATGGTGGTCGGAAGTTGCAGAAGTAGAGCAGAAGCGGCGGAGAACGGCGGCACTCGGGGAAGGGAGAACGCGGGAACGAAACAAGCACGAAGCCATTTTTAGGTGACAGAAAATCTCCGTGCACCCGTATAAGTGGATGAGTTTTCCAACCGGTCCCGAATTATAGTTAGTTTCATTTTTCAATTTTTTTAAATAACTAAATACTACGGAGTTACATTCATTTTCGAACATAACTGATTTAAAAAAAAAATTAAACTAAAAATAAATATTGAATTTGTCATGGATTCTCCCATCTCATAATCATCTTTATATGTATATTTTTATTATTGTCACATCATTTTCTTTCACTATCATTTTAGAGAGAAATTAAAAACCCCTACACAAACTGAAACTATACAAGTTCTACATTATTAAAAATCATGCCAATATCATACAAGAAATAATTATGAGAGGAAAGGACTAATTAAATTATGGAGTAAAAAGAGTAAATATGCATAAACAACAAATGTGTCAAACAATTCATTTACAAGCAAATCATCATCTTACCAAACAAAGCTGACAAAAAGAGCTAACAAAACCAATTCTAACAACTAAACATCTTGATAGGAAGTCAACTCATAAAGAGGAACATCTTGCTCCACAAAATGTCAAAATGAAAAAGAAAAAAAATATGTACAAAATTACTAAATTAGTCTGTCTATCCAGGGGGGAAAGAATCAAGTATACATCTGCTTGGTAAAAACTTGGTCATGCAATTTTGTGTACATAGCCTCCACAGCAGAAAAATCAATATCAAATCCAAAGGTTTGGCCTCCATAAAGCACATACAGGTATTCTTTAGAGGATGGCGGCGGCGGCAAAATTTCCAAAATACCTGGAAATTCCGAAGTCGGGGGAGAAGGCAAATCTTTCTTTCTTGAGTAGTAAACGTCGGATAAGAGAAGCCATATCAGATCAGGGTCGATTGAAGCAAGTCCAACAAGAGCATTGACAGAAGCTTCTAGAAGACCTTTGACGCCGCTGAATGCAATGCCAACCACCAGACCACTAACCTTCTTGAAGACAGCATCTAATGCAGGAGCACTTCTTTTGTTTCGTGCCAGGTCTGAAATCATGTTGAGCAGTTCGGCCTGGACTTTCAGGCTGGAGATTTCACCAACTGAATCGTCCTCAGAAGAATTGGAGCTTTTTCTGTAAGGTAGTTGAAGAGGGACTCTTTCCTGTTTGGGATGAGATTTCTTTTGAAATGGTGATGTTGTTAGGAGTTTCCAGAAATGGATTCCGTCAGTGTGAAAACGGCGCGCAAAGAACTCTCCTCCACAGATTTGGACCACCGTACTAATCACACGACAGCATCTTCTAGTGGTCTGTAAAAGTGTAAAACATTCAGAATTAAACACGTTTGAAAGAAACTTGCCACTGGATTTTGGGCTCTTACTCAAAGAAGGCAGGGTGGGGGAGGGGTACTTACCACTGGATTCTTATTACGGACGCAAGCAACTAAAAATGGCCAAACTTTGTTCATTGCAGGGAGTAATCTGTTTTCTCCTGTTTCGTCATCAACATTATCCTGAAGAACGTGGGGAAAGCGAGAGAGAATAAAATCTTCAACTGTCTCTTTGGTTTTACTCTCCTGCTTGTAGGCTTCTTCCACTTTAGCTAATGCCAGTATTCCATCCTATAGCACAAACGAAGGACATTACAAACTGGCCAGCTTGTAAACAAGTCCAAGATAGCTAACTTTATTTTGCAAAATTAAGGACCTGTTTGGTGAGCAAAGCATGATTGGTATGATATGACTATATGAGTTCTGAAATCTAGAAGAAATGATATGGGTTGTGAAATCTGAAACGGAATTGTTTNACGGAGGACCCAGATGGCTGGTGAAGGGGGGTTGTGGCCGGCAATCAAAATCCCCGGATTGATATCTCCCAAAATCGGGGGATAGCAAAAAGACTCCCATTCGGAGGGTTGGGATACTCAGAGATATCAAATCTGAACCCTGTATAGGCAAATACCCACAAAAGGGTTCTCATATCGGGAGAAATCAAAACCATATCTCATGTGCTGACCAAACAGGCTCTAACCTTTTTTAATATTAATCTAACTGAAATCTCTAGCTTATTTTTTAAGTCATTGGAAAATTACAAAGAGAATTGTACCACAACTACATCCAGGGCAATCAAACATGCTGCTTGATCATCTGAAGCAATTAATGGAGTGGCAGCGATTATACATGACCCAGCAATAGATCCAACTGCTCTTCGATATATTCTTGAATCATTCAAATTGAATAAGATTGACTCCCAATCCTCTTCTTGCAAATCAGCACCGCTAGAGCAACTTTCTGGCTTTCTATCTGGAACAACATTACAAGATTTTTCAATGAATCAATTATCTTTCATTTGCAATATAATGACTCTCTTATTCCAATTTTTGACACGATATATCTTTTAACTAGGGAAAATAAATAAAATAAAATAAAATAATCATTGCCCTTTCCTTTTTTCTACTATGGCATTTTGCATGCTAAACACATAAATCCAGGATGGGATATACTTGTAATTAACTAGATAAGCCATTAGCGGTAGTGTTTTCAGGGACACTCACCAGAAACCTCAGAACCTATATCCATAATATGTGAACTGGAAGAAAAATGTTTTCCCTTTTCCTTGTCCATATTTGATATTTTAAACTTCACTTCCTTTAGAAATGACTCTGCTTTTTCTGGCAGTGCACAAGCCTCTTTACTGGAAGCCTTGGTTATTTCAGCGACAGCCTACAGAGATTAAGGAAATCAACAAGGTCGTCAACAAAACAAACTACGATACTCCCACCCTTCCTAAGTGGTCATATTTGTATAACGGAGCTAGTTTTTCGTATAAATTGCCGAAAAAGTTACAAATTCAATATGTACATCATAAATTTACTAGAAGAAAAAAACACTCCAGGTAAATAATAAGTTGGATTCGATGACTTTTAACCTGTAGTTGTACCTTCCCAGAACTAACCTTTACCAAAGATGACTCTTATTTGCGGGTGTTTGGCAGAGGGAATTTTTTTAGAGGTGTTAAGGATGCTAGTTTACAAAAATCCTGAGATAATATGATGGCTCCTAGTTGGTTCAATGAGTAACGAGTAGGTTTACCATTGAAAATGGATTAATAAGAAGGGAAAAAAAGTATCAAGGCGAACGGATGACAAATATCTGATGTTGTAATACAAGTAAAAACAACATAGGTAAAGATTGCTAAGAGTCAGAAATAACCTTCAAGAAGGGAGTGGTCAAATGTGGGTGCTGGTTTCTGCCAAGAATTTCAAGCTCCATAGCCACAGCACGCATCTAGACACAATTAACATGGTAATAAGATCTCACCTCTTTAGAATGGCTATGATCACAATTTCACAACAAACAAGAAACACTTAAAGTTCATTTTCAGACAATAAAATCATACCAGCTCCTCCAATAACGGCAATACTTTATCAGCAACTCCAACATAAGAAAGCATAGCAGAAAGTACATTTGGAACATGAGGATTAAGATCCAAATGACGCAGTTGCTGACATATAGAATCAATTACGTAGTCTGCATTTGCCAATACCAGGTGACCTACCTGCAAGAATTACTTGATTTATCTCGGAATCAAACTACACACAGACATCAAGCATTGTCCATAGCCAGAACTCACCGATGGACAGTTGTTTATAGTGGAGATTACATGTAAAACAGCGTCAGATGCCCTTCTGATGTGAAAATTTGAACAGATAACATTTTCAAGCATCATATAAAGTGAAGAATGAAGAAATCCAGATGAAGAAAATTCTTTCCCAAGACAAATATTAAATATGCCAATTCCCTCAATAATAACCTGTTGAGGAAAACATATGCAAAATCAATTGAACAAAGTATACAAGAATAAATTTTATATGACAATTTTAGTCCAAGAATACAAGTAACAAAATTTCAGGTGAAAAGAATGTGTTACCTGCTGTAGCATTGCATTGTCATGGAAAAAGTATGAATTTAAGTTTCCTTCTCCATCAAAATGGGAAACGGAACTACTCTCCAGTGGAAGATCCCAAATTTCGGAGGATAGATATTCATGTAATATGTTACCAATACAGTCTATCAACTGGCTCCTTGCATTTCCACCCTTGTTGACATTCCAAACACATTCCTCTTGTGCATTACCCACAAATTCAAAATATTCACCATTATCATCAGCATAAAAGCACTCACCATTCCCACTTAGACTGGACTTCCCAAACATGGTTTGAAAATTAGCTATAACTTGATCAGAAATGCCATATATCATTTCATTCAATATACATGCAGCAGTACTAGCCTGTCGGACCAACTGCCCTGAACCTGTTCTCTTATACCAAGACAGCCAGCTTTCACTATGGTATCCTTTTGTTCGTACCTCAGAAATTAATTTACGCAAGTGTCCAAGTGGAATATCAGCTATAGCAGAAAGGGAACCTTCAATTTGAGAGTCTGGATAAACCAAACAAGTGAGTTACATTATGTTTAAGAGCGAGAGCTATGTGAAAATAAAAGAAACAAATACAAGAACTACGACAATGACGGCAACAGTAATATGGACATACAAGTACCTGCAAATAAACATCTACCTACAAGTCTAAGAATTCCAGCCAAAGCTTGGTAAAGATCATGGCTGCCAATGTTAACAAACCAAGGTGGCACGCGAGGAAGCTCATACTCAGTATGTACATTTTCAGGCAAGGATACTATTTTCCTGTTTTGAAGAACTGAGCACTCTGAATTTTCAGATTCAGCCTTAATTACAGCATTTAATTCTGCTATGGACCGCATAAATCCAGAAGATGATGTTCTTGCTGATACAAGCTTGTCAAGTGAACCAACAAAGGCTGACTTGTGACTCAGACAAAAGAAAAAAACGTCCAAGAATTGAGCAGCTTTCACCTGTACCGTCATGATAATACAAAAGTTTCTTAATGAAGAAGACCTAATCCGTCTTAGCTCAAAATGAAAACATAGATTCTCTGGTAATAATTACATCAAACTTGTTTGTTTGCAGGTTTAGACACATGTTCTATAGAATAAGAGGGCAAATTTATTGACTTATTTCTCATTTTTGTTTTAGTCACAATGCCGTGAAGTGCATATTAAAAGACTTAATATGCATGTATTTTTCATAATCAATGCAATTCCTTGGTTCAGCTGCAAAAACCATTTTAGAAACAATACCACATGAGAGAGAGGGGAGAGAGAGAGAGTACTGGAGAATAGATGAGGTAGTCTGCCACAAGATTGGGTCCACAGAAATACGTGATTGCAAGTAACTTTCGGGCATGTGATAGTGGGAGCGACTCTTGACTGCTCATGAGTGCTTGTGGAAGTTTTTCAACAAGCCTGGATATGAAATTTATTATCCATGTTATCAAACTTACTGGCAGGCCATCATCATTAATGTAATTTATAGCAGAGTTAGACAAACTTCACCTGCTAAAGATCTCAGACATATCACTTTCTAGCTGATGTTTTCCCCTGGAGGAGAACATAAGCCTGAGAAATCTCTGAGCAGCTAAAGCAATCTCCTCAGAATCATCACAGACCAAGACACACAAGCACTCCTGCATTGCAAGTAGCGCAACCATCAAATATTTAATACAACAAACCCAGTATAATCCAAACCTTCTCGGGGTCTGAGGGTGAACATGTACGCAACCTTAGTTATTTACCTTACCCTGTACAACTAGAGAGGCTGTTTCCATTAGACCCTTGATGTGTTTACTTTCCACAACTTCATAAAATATAAGAAGGAAAGTTTAATTTGCAATTTTGATCTAATTCATTTTTATCCAAAGCTAAAACATTGTCAAAAATGACCATCGAAGATAACATAAGTTACAAGAAAGGCTAGAATGCTAGCTACAGTTGAAGTCCAAAAGGCACCAGTGCCATCTAGACAGGAGAAGAACTAATGACACTCCAGAACTGAACTTGATCTTAGCATTTACTTGTTAGGGACGCCAGGTCAAAACAATCCACACTGGTCATCCAAGGAGTTGAGATGGGATACAACTTTACATTGAAACTATTTGCTGTATGATTTGTATCTAGAAGACTAGAATACAGTGCAGAAAGTTCGAAATATATACTTCCAGTTGTGCTACAAACATAAATTCTTCTTAAAACTACAATTGTATTGCCTTGATTCTTGATGCTAAGGTGGATTTAACTATCCTCCTTGTGTTTAACTTGTCCCTAAGTTTCAGTGATACAAAAGTTTAAAATAAAACCAGGGGAAATAATGAATGCTTCCAGAAAGAATCTGTAGCTAGAAGATAATAGTTATCTTTGTTTGCTATATCATACAAATTCAAGGAGACATACTATTTTCTTCATGATAAAAAAGATAAGTAGCTAACTAATCCATACAATACAACTAGATGAAATTAGCATGCATTTACTGAAGGTCCAGCAAGAACCAATATTAAACAATAAGGGTTTATCACTGACCAAATCCAATCAAAGGATGTCATGTGTGTGACATCATTTTTGAATTTTGGAATAAAAAATGGTTCAACACGAATAGCATACAATGATTTGATCCCACTTTATAACTTAAACAGGTCCCTCATTAGATCCTTCTCATATCATCTGCAGACCATGAGGAACTCAATTGAAGGCATTATAATAAAAATATATATGCAGGCTCACCAAAAGCATTAATCTGCTTGCCTCCAATGTGCGTCGGCATTTTGATAAGAGAACTTGTACAGCGGCAAGAACTCCCTGTCTCACTCTCTTGGCCGGATGAGTGCAAAGCTGAAAGATGCAAGACCCCAACTTTTAGTATTTCAAGTTCAGAGTAAGAAGATAATGGTAAAACATGGGATTATTATCAGCAACCTACATGGGGAAAAGTTACAGACAGAAGTCTATCAAGATGAGCGGATGTATTTTTGATCCACTCTCTAGTACGCTTAACACGTAGTGAACCATCCTTGCCAATGGAATTGCTCTTAGCCTTCTCTCTGAAGTCAGATACCATTACACCCTTTTCTACAGATCTTGTCACACACTCGGAATCATCGTCCTCTTGATGTTTAGCAGGGAGCTGACGTAGTTCCTCCAAGAAAGAAGCAATAGGTTTATCTTCCCTTGAAGAAATTCCAGAGTGATCATGCATAGGGGTTTTAAGACTAGATACATTAGCAGCATCATCAAGAACTATGATGAGGTATTCTGCAAAACCTCTGATGGCAAGATCAAGGGCTTCCGTACTACCAGCTGCTCCACTAATCATAGATTTCGATAAATGAAACACTTTTCCAATCTGACTAACAACACCAGGTAAAAAGAATGCGAGTGCATCTGCAGAACCAACCTGAATGTGAAGTTAGACGTTAAGTTCCAGTTTTGATATGACAAATTGCAAAGGGAATGCCTTTACAAAAAAAAAGATCAATTACTAGGTGGAACATTTAAGCTATTGCGTCCTATTCAATCAGTCTGTAAAAAAAAATCTACAAATAGAAGATCTTGGTGTACGGATTGTAACACAGAATTTAAGAAATCTCATCATCATCATCATCATCAACAAACCCAGTGTTATTCCACAAGTGGGGTCATCCAGTGTAATCACACGAGTGAGGTCTGGGGAGGGTAAGATGGACGCACACCTTACAGCTAAGTATGAGAGGTGGAGATACCTCAGATACTTTTTCAAAGAAACCCTATCATGGGAAGACTTTTTTCTTTATGTATAGTAAGTACAAAGCTCCTTTCATTGCTTTTCTCACATTAACAGATAGTTGGACAACATGCAAATCCCATACAAATAAACAATATGCAATCATGATTCTTTCGTAGAATTCCAAAGTATAATAGTTAATATGTAGTGTTGAAGAAACTAATATTAATGAAATGAACCATTAAATACCTACAACATAAAATGAGTTTCATTTTATTTATCTTAAAATGCTATTAACATCAGATTAAAAAAAATAGAAATTTTCAAAAGATAAAATATAATGAGTTAATGACAGCACCTTTGAAACAAGCACTCGGAACGCAACGAAGGCCTCCACACGTAGCCTTAAGCTGCCACGATGTCCTCGCTTGGACTCAGTATCTGCAGCCTTCACACATACTCTAAGTCAGTATTTTATGGCAAATTGCCACCCGGGAGAAAGTGGAAAAGAGCTAATAGTCTGAAATAGAAGATGGGTCTTTAGGACGAAAGATTTACATGCCTTGAGCAAAAGGGAAAGCCAGTGTCCAACAATGGGTGATGCAGGCTCAGATTGAAGGAATGCTAATAGACATTCTTGTAGAACAATGTCAGATTTTGCGACAGCAGGGCCTGGAAACTGAAAATCATATTGATGTAGAAGAATGGGCCAGCCACGAACTTGTTTGCACAGACAGGAATCGTCAAAACAAGGATGGAGATTACACAACAGAGACTTGAAACACCTTAACACTCCTTCACGAAACTCTTCTGATGCCTCAGATGGAGAGAGCAAAGCCCCATAAGTCATTTTCTTAAGGATCACAACCATCTGCATAAAAGATCAGTTTGGTTCCTCAAGAAGCACATTAGGAATTGGGATTTGGGAATCCAGCACAAATCACTAAAACTGAAATTAAAAAAAGGAGTATTTAAAAAAAATGCTAAGCGAAATAGACAACTGAGTGATATATTATAACTACACACATAGGGAACCAGGGGAAAAGCCATAGGCAGTACATCCTTTAAATGAATTTTGACACAAGCCAGTAGGAGATTCCTTTGAATCGTTTATACCTGATCAACAGATCCTAAATAGCATTTCTTAAGGAGTTCCTCCAGACAAAGAAGTGTAACTTCTGCCACAGCATCACTAACATCATGTTCTGAGTCACTAAACAATAGTGTTCTATCTTCATAATTTGTCTTTGATAAAGATCTGCAAGTCACTGCTGCGTCGAACAAAAGCAGCAGCGGAAACAAAGTGTAGCTGGAAAAATTAATAAGGATCTGAAGATTAAGCTTTCAGATGCTAAACACAAAATGGACTTTAAAAAAAGTCTTGAATGCCAAATCATGTTCACTAACTTTTTTTGTCTTGAACATCAGCAGTATCAGTGATAGTTCTTTCACTTCTTTGCAATACACAAATAGATGCATTTACACACACACCCCTCTTTTCTCATACCTGGTACCAACTGTACCATCTGTGATTCACTCTTAACAGAAGTACAGAACTATTAATTAAGTCCTTTTTCAAGCTTCCCCCTTGGGTTGAGTGGTACCAAAACCACCCCCAAGGATTCTAGATAGGAAGCTCACCCGGGTTTGAAACCCAATGGGGGCATTCAGCATTGACTCTATGCACTTTGAAAGGTTGAGAAAGTGATATATCTAAGCCCGACCCTATCATACCCTCCCCCATATCCCACACCCTCATGGAAACCAAAGGACTTAGGTTCAAACATTATGATCCATTTTAGTGAGAATTCAAAGTCCTTTAGCCCGAAAGGCCAAAATAACTTTCGTTTTGACCTAAGGGTTCCGCTAGCCAACCCCCACTCCGTCCAACCCAACCCTAAACATCCAAATATATTTCATTTCCTTTTGATATCCAAAATAAAGTCTCTTCTATCTATTTTAATCTCTGGTCACAATAGGAAACCAAAACAGCCCCATTCATCTTCCAACATCCACCCAACATGGTCCCTACTATGTTCCCTAGTACAACCCACTAAACAACCATAAAATTCCAGGAGAAACCTGGTACTTTCTTAACCCTTTAACCACCAAATAAATCCTCATATATGCAGCCAAAGTACCACACATTATCCTTTCCCTTTGTCCCCCCTAGTTGGCTGAACACATCCCCCC